GTTAGATGTCGCGTTCCCCTCTTCAAAGTTTCCTTGAAGTTCAAGAGTCGTGATTTCAGGTGCGTCCTTGTCATGATCAACGCAGCACGTTTTATTGAAACATCCTGTTTTGGAGTTCATCCATATAATTGACATCTGCAGAGGGGACTCTTCTTGGACACCCATGAGCCAATGTGAAGAATGAGAGAAATGTTTCTACGCATTGAATCATCACTTGTCAAATTCAGCAATGCGAATATTGATCAATTCTATGTATTGAAGGGTGTCAGTTCGGGTGTCAGCAGTGCTCAGGCAACGCGCCCGTAGATATGGTGAGAGAGGAGCGCCAGACGGAACTCGTGAACTTGCTGATGGACAAAGCCTCTTGGCCGCACGGGTGGGCCTCAAGCACTGCAGTGGCCCAAGGATGTCAACTTCAACGGGTATAACATGGTGAAACTTCTGGCGCTTGTGGGGATGAAAGCCGTTTTCAAGTGGCGTGGGATAGTGATATTTGTCCGGACCAGGGGATGTTTATGCTGCGAATGTTGGACAAATCTGAAGTCTGGACACGGTGCCAAATCATCCTCGCAAGTCCTGCCAATAAGTGAGCATAGATCAACAGAGATCAACCACGAATCCGATTGAGTTTGCAGACTTGATTTGGTGGCCATGCATGGGATTCTCTGCGTTAACCCCGCTGACCCTTTCCAGTTCCATGGTCCCGGAGACAACATCAAGAACAGGTTGGATGTTCTTTGATTGTCCCCAGCTACACATGGCCTAAAGGATCCGAAATGTCACAGATGGGTATGCGCCGTACCAAAAGATCAAAAGGACCAGGACGTTGGTCATGTGTTCGTTCATGATGAGCTTGGACTTATCAACATCTCCGTATTTTCAGGTTTAACCCTCAAACGGTCCAACCATTTTGAAGTTCAAATGTTCTGTGCACCTTCTCGCCGCCCAAGGCATGAACCGGAAGGCCTGGCACATGGAGTAGCTGAGCGATATTTGCGAATCCGCTTGATGTTTTTACCAAGCAGCACAAGGTGAGCCTGATCCATCAGTTTGGAGGAATGATAAGTACATCTCTATATAGAAGGTACCGTATTAAGCACTAAATCATGGTAAAATGCTAAGGATTTTGACACCTGCCCATGCCCATGTGCATTTGGACGGCCCGGGCCCCGGTAAGAAATGTCAATAAAGTATTATGTGTATCGATATGTCAATGCTTCGTTTTTGAGAGGCGTAGCGGCATAGAGTCCATAGTGAAATTTGATTCAAGTTGCAGTTCTACCCTTCAACCCGGGCTCTTAGCAAGATCACGTCAGATCTGCAGTATAGCCTTTGACATTGTTTGAACATGAATTTTGCAGGGGTTAGCTCCTGGTATTCCTCTTAGAAACCCATCGAACAGCATCATTCTCGTGTTTGTTTGCCTTCCCATCAGGCAAAGTTCTCCCCGGCCTGACAAAGTGGTCTCTGCGTAAGCTTCTCAGGGTGCCGAGGGTTGATGTCCAAAAAATCCGAAGTGGTAGGGAAGCTCATCCGACCTCTGTGCAAAAAGGGCATGCTTCCCCATTTTTGGGGACACCTAAATTTGAAGACATGGGAATCGAGTCGGTGGTGGCCTGTGACCACTAGTCACTAGAGATATGGATCAGCCACTTGTTTTGTTTCTTTTGCTTTGTGGGTACCGAGACGGCATTTTTCGTTCATTCTGAGATTGTTCTATTCTTTGCTCCAACCACTGGTAGAACCCAAGGCCCAGGTCTTTTCGGATTCTGATCCAAGCAGCTTCAACATTCCAAACTCCATAGGTCTGGGTCTACTCCTTGGGTTTTCCAATGGGATTGTTAACACAAGAAAGCGACGAACATGTGTGGCCCATTCGGCTTCCCCGCGCTCAGCTCCGTCTTTGGTGAGGCACAGCCGTTGAATTCCGGGCCAAAGCTGCCTTTGAGGTGCATCCTCTGGTGATAAAAAATGCGCTGCCCAGCTCTTTTGTGATCACAAAAAAAAAGTATATAGGTCAGAATTGGGTTCCTTCAAAATAAAATGGTTTCAATTTGTTCCAAACATTATCCCATACTTTCCAAAATGACCCAAGATCTGTGGCTCTATGGCGTCTCTGTTTGGGATAAGGATTGAGCTCAGCAAGTGGCTTCTGCGAGCTCTGCAGTGCAGGCATCAATGGCATTGCCATAACTTGTTTATTCCTGTTGGTGGTTGATTTGTTTTGCTTACTTCCAAATAGTCAGTCTTCACAGTAGTGACATGGGCAAAAGATCTCGAAATGACCCGCCAATCCAAGACATTCAGCTTAGTTTTAGAATCATGCCAGTGGTAGCTCAGCCAGGACTTTCTTCCAATGCAAGAAGCAACAACTTCCCGAAATATGCTGGGTAGGTGAAAGTCCTTCAGTTGGAGTTGGATCACATCTCGTACAACTGTTGGGTGCTATCTCAATGATTACCGGCGAGATCTTCAGGGTCTTGATTTCATTTCTTTGCGTTGGATGTATGCGCCGTGCTTAAGTTTCATGTGGGAGCAAAGTGCCATGGATGCGAATGTCATATCGTTTCCATTTGGGAGTCAAACATGCATCATCTTTCAGCCATTCGTACAAGTACTAGCTATTAGGGCATATTGGGGCTATTATTTGTTGCTCGAAGGGAAGTCGAAGTTCAATATACATAGCATCCACTCTACGAACCATTCATGGAACATTTCACTACGGGTTCCCCATTCTGGGCGAATTCCCATTGCACAAAACGCACATGCAATGGTGGCCTTTGATATATGATGGCGGGATGTCTCAGTTGTGCTGGGCTGGGAGCTGAATTCCTCATAACTTTGCTTGATGCCGCGAAAACTGGGTGTTCTGCATTGTTCTTGTTTGTGTTTTTGATCTTGATCAAGTCAAGGGCAAACTTGGATTTGTCCTTGCTTTTTGGAAAATCAGTGCGGCAGATTTCCTGGAAACTTGATGCTGCCAAATTACATTTGTTGAATCGGTGCTGGCTTCATTCCCTGGAAAGACCTTCTTGAACGCATTTTCTCACGGTCTGAGGCAGAAAGTCGAGGAGAACGGAAATTTTGAGTGCAAAGGAACCAAGAAATTGGGAAGTAAATTGTTCCAGCAATTCTGAGTTAACAACCATGAATTCAACATCATCATCTTCTGGTCCCCTGTTTGTGACTCTCACAGTGTCGCATAGCTGGCATCGCAACAATCCTCCCGCCCTCTGTTGGTGGGAACAAAACCGGATATTTGTGGGGGCTTTGTGGGGAAGCACTCTTGATGAAGCTATGTTTTAGGAATAGAGGCATTGACTTGGGTATGTGGATTTGCAGAGGGTACACTGTTTTGCCCTATTGTTGTAAACTCAGTGAATCCCTCACCCACATTGACATCAAATGCCACTCAGCCAAGTCTCTTCCAATGGTGTGAGGAGCAGCCTCCATGATCGCTTCCTACAGTGGATTGAGTGGCCAACCAGTTCACAGCTAGGATGGTGGTGGCAAGTGACATGAACTATGCCCCAGAATGGCCAGACGAGCGGTGAGCTACCAATTTGTGAGGTGAGGATCACATAGGCGAACCATAATTCTGCAACCCTGTGAACCTATATAGAAATTGATTTTAATCATAGCTTCGAATTCATTAATACAGCAAACTGCTAGCAAACTGAAGCAAACAATTGGACCAGAATTGTAAGTGCAGTGCAAGAGGGCCTGTCGAATCGTGCATGCACAGGCAGTTTTTTTGCTTTCAAATGTTTGCTTGGCGCATGCAAGGCATCTTTATTGACTGGGACATGGGTAGCGGACGCGCTTTGGCAGATGCATTCCACAACGTGTCGAATGAACAATAACTAGCGAGCAACCAATCTTCTGACAGGGTTGTTTTGGGTTCGTAATGCATGCACATTCAGATATATCATATGCCTTGGTTGCAATAGAAGAAATGAATAGATCTGAAAAGGGTTTCTAAAGCGCAAGTTGGTTGGGAAACCGTCTCCATTTTTGCCATATCATGCAATGAAGAAGTACACTTGCCCTTTGGCGTGTCACCATTGTATGTTTGAAGATCTTGAAACATACAGTTTCTTCAAGAGGATTGCACCGTCGTCGATTTCCTTCTGAGTATGAAAAAGAGGGTAGCCGCGAATTGCATGGAGATAAGTGATAGAGTGTCGAAGAGTACTATAACATGCTGGAGTGACATGCAGGGTGATGCTGGAGGTGCACTGGTTGAGTCTGCTTCGCCTCTGAAAACTGATCCGCTGACCGCAGATCTTGGCTAAAATACAGTGTCATCCAATTTGTCGAAGCATGGGCTGCAGCATCTCCCAGGCCGTCCAGAACTTGTTTGTTGTGGCTGATTCTCTCAAAGACAGTTTCCTTTGTATATATATAATTATATATATATATAAATATACAGTATACACCACTGTCGCAGGCGGATGGGATGGTCCTGGAGATGAAGTTTTTGGGAATCATACTGACTGATTATTAAAATATGGATGAAATTTTGATAGATAGTTTGTTGGAATATCATCAATGTTTGGAATAGACTGATTATCAAAAAATTGGGAATCATTGGTTTCTATGGAGATGAAGTTTTTGGGAAACATTGGGCTATCCAATGATTTTTTGATGATATTGGGCTTATCCCAATCTGCCAAGCAATTTTTGGGCAGATTCGTTGGGAGAATGAGAGACCTATGACCCTCACCATATGATATGTGGGTATCGGGAATAGTGAATTTCATGACTTGTAATGATGGGAATAATTATATGTCCATACCCAGAAAAGATTCTGGGTGATTAGGAATGATCAACAGAATAAATAGTAGGTGCAATAATGACGGGGATGATTGGATAACCAACAATACATAATTTGGAATTTGTCCCACATTTTGACTGGAAACATGAGGTTTGAAACCATAGATTGGACTGGGGGCAGCGCCTGGTAGCGCAGTTTTGGCAAACTCAATGATTAAAATTTGAGGCTGAAGTCGATCAACGAGCAGAGCGTGAACCTCCAAAGGCGGGCGGTGGAAAACAGGTAACAGTATGCGCCTTGTTCATAGTTCCATATCGTACCAGTAGCGCAAGTGAACGAATCACGTCGGATTGGAGCAGCTTCAACTTTGAAACTTCCAGGAAAGGTTCTCGTGCTTGGTCGGACCCGCAAATTAGTTTTGCACAGAGGGCCGCGTCATATCGCGCGCTGGCAATTTCTGTTTAGCGTGGAAGATATTTGAAAAGGTTTTGCACATTTTTGCACATTGCGGTGGATTTTTGGCCCCATATCATTACTTTAATCAAAAGTGGTTGCTTTGATGAACATGACTTCTTGCAAGAAAGAACGCTTTGCTAGGAGCTCAACACGCTTCACTTCATTCTGAAGGAGAGTCCAGCTGTCCTTTCCTTCAGAGGCAATAGCTACTTCGGAAAAATTGATCCCAATGCCAAAATTTGCTGGGTCTCGTTCCCAGGGAAGTATGAAACAGGGTGGGAATCCCTGATAAGTCGACACGTCAAGGACTCCGTGGCATGCGTATTCCTTTGCGACACTGAGCATGGGCTTGGGCAGCACTACTTTCCAGATGACAATCTGCAGCAATGTCTCTGCGCACAGATTTACGGTGAGCGCAACTATAAAGATCTGGGATACCTCCAAGAGGTAAAGCACATATGCACCGATGACGAGAAATCAGAAAGAAGAAAAAGAGCAGAAGCAATGAATGGTCACATTGTTTTCGGAAAAGCCACTGACAAAGATAGGGCAAAAGCTCGGCATCTATGGGAGCAGAACGGGAAGCGAGCGAGTTGGGGCTGCGCTTGGTTTCAGAAGTGGTTTGACCGAGTCAAGACAGCAGTGGACCTGGGACAAAAACTTAAGGTTGTCTTTTTCCCAGGTCACGTAGGCTGTGGCAAAGTCCCCTGGACAATGCTTCCAAAGGTGAACCTTTGGGATGGAATTGGGTGCGGTGGCTCCCAAAAGGGGGAAATTGCCAAGCTGGATGAGATGCGGCGCACAGATCGCAGATGGGATTACGACGAAGTCGATGTGACGGAATTCTTGGCTGAACAGTTCAAACCTGGTGACATTGTCGACGCATTTGACCTGGATCAGAATAGTTTTGTCACAGCTGAGCTTCTCCAAACGCCTGTTTCTGACTCCAAGAACCACCATGACCATCATGATATGAAATGGCAGGTGATGTGCAATAAAACAGGGAAACACTTTGAGACCAAGCGTCTGCGGCACGCCACAGACTTTTTTGAGAAACTCTTGGAGCTGAATGTATTTGGAAAGGACTCTTTGAAGAAGATCGTGCAGGATGTAACGAAACTCCATGTAAAGTCTGTACACGAGTCGCGGCTTCAGAATGGTATGCCTTGCTTGGCAGTGGATTTTGACATTCAAAACATTCAAGAAAAACACCGGCTGAGAGATGCAGTGCTAAGTGATGACATTGCCTTTCTACTGAACAATGCTTTAGAAAAGCGTGGAATTACAGAAGAGCTGGCCGTGGACAAAACATCGTTTTTCAATCAGTATGCAGCAAGTCTTTTGTCTTCCTCACAGCTGACAAATCACCAGGCAGAGAAACTCAAAGAACTTTCCAGGTATTTACATGAAGACGTCCATTTGTCAGCCCCGGCTGGAGCGGGGAAATCGTTTTTGGCAATCCGGCATGCAATCAGCAAACTGAGTTCCAGCAGTCAGGGGAAGATTCTATTCATCTCCCCGAACCGATCTCTGGGTTTTTATTTCGTCCGCTGGCTCCTCACATATGCAAAATCATCGCTGCCAACGATGTCCAGGAACAAGCTCTTACAAAGACTTGTTTTGATGCATGCACCCTATGACAGATTCACGGGAGTACACATTGAAGATTGCCAAATTGTTCTGCAGGAATTGACGATGATGCCGGGTGACTTGGTTCTCGCAGTTTTTGATGAAGGACATGAAATATTCAGAACGAACCAAAGGTTATTCCAGGAAGTTCGTGCCCAGCACAAGTTGATTCTCTCAGACCTTTCCCAGTCCTTCTTACTGGACAACAATTATCCTGAGATGCGCCGGGTGAACCTCACGGAGGTTGTCCGTAGCACAAAACGAGTTGCCTTTGGAGCAAACGCATTTCAGCTGCAAGATGGTGAGCCAACTACATGTCTTGGCACAACTGGCCCTCCACTGAAGTCATTTATTTTCGAGGTGCCCGAAGGGTATGATGGTGATTTGTTTGCGCACTTTGCCCAAAACACAGTGGAAGCTCTGTGGTTCATTCTGCAAAGGCACCCCAGCATGCGGCTTGATCGGCACGTTGCATTGCTTGTGCCAGACGAACATTTTCACATGATTTTCAAGTCACATCTTGAGGAGCGCTTGGAGGCAGTTTTCGCGCCAACTTACAACATACAGTTGGTTTCCTTTGAGGAATCTTTACGTTTCTTACCAGAGGCTGTAGATCAGGACCGGAGGGAGGATGAACTCATCCTCGACTGGGACACCAATGCCAAAGGGTTGGAGCAGCTCTTTATCATTTGCATTGGCTTTGATGCGCAAATCACTGGTGACACTGACAATTTCACCAGAGCGCGTCTTTATCATGCTATGACTCGAGCACAGCTCCAAGCCATTGTTGTCGACCGATTCATCCGTGGTGGTTGGTTGGAGTTTCTCAATGCTTTGAAACTCAAAGAGACGACCTTTCAAGCGGATGATGCAAAACTGGAGATCAAGAAGGATGCAGCTTTCAAAATAGTGGAAGACTCTCGGCCGGAAACTGTGCCAGGTAAACCGACCAAACAAGAGAAGCATTTATTTCACCATCACATAGTATTTTAGATATCGTAGTTTAATACGTGTTCCGTGCATGGTAAATGAATATGTATGAACGCAAAAGCATTCTGTTACAGATTTGAAGGTCGGAAAGGCATTGTCGAAAGGTGGGTCGAAATGAGAATCACTTGGAAATCTGCGTTTTGCCCAAGGAAACCACTCAATCCGAAGCTGATTCACGTCCAGAAGCGGCCACCAAGGCGCCTGGAGGGTGTCCACGGTCCATGGTTTGCTCAAGGGGTTTCATGATCATCAATTGTACCAACGTGAGGTCTGTATTTCAACACGTTTCAACAGCTTGCATTACGGTGAGGTGAGTGAAAGATTAAATTTGTGTCTCCTGTTCTTGGTATAGATGGGAAGAACCCCAAGAGTAGAACGGTGCCTCCTGGCTTCAGATCCAGCTGTGGACAGGAACCTGCTTCATCCATGGGCCAAACAGCAAAAATCACTGCGGTCCTGACCTTGGAAGATCAAAGTGGGTTGTTCCAAACACAGGACACTGGGACACGCTAATTAAATTGCCGTTTCCAAGAGAAAATGCTGATCAAACAAACACTATATATTGGAGTGCCTTATTTTGAGAGAGGCCTGAGAGTTGTGACTTCCACAGCTGTGTGCAGTCACCTTTTCACCTGCTCCAGCGAAGCGGTTGAGGAACCAGAAGCTGGCCCAAAGGCACTGGAAACATGTCTGATTGAGCTGGATCTTGTGCTTGTTTCCTTTTTACTGTTTTTTTAAACACATCTCAACCAGTAAAAGCATCAACTGAATTCCTGGTCTTGTCAGTAGGTTGCACGCATGTGGTACCATGCTACCTGATAAAATAGCATGATAGTCATGTCTGGAGTCAAGTTGAATTGTTGTGAGACATGGCTTGGTTCTTGAGCAATGCTGCCTGCTAATTTGGGTTCAGTGCAGGAGCCTACGGTGGTTGAAGTGCTCCCAACTTCCATTTGGGACACCAGCAGCAACATGATCAAAACCAAGATTGCGAAGTTGAAATTTGATCCAAGGTCTACTGAGGACACAACACCTGTGTGACTTTGTCATCAACGTCATACATTGCAATAGCAGACGAAATCTTCAAAGTGTGTGTTACTTAAAGTGTGCTACTTTGCCTTAAGTCTGTGATCAGTCATTACGTATCATTACGTCCTTTAGAGTTCCCTGGCGTTTTTCATGGCAACATCCTGCAAACCTATTTTTGGAGTTTCGGGCCTTTAGCATCCCTTTCCGCAAAAATATCAAGACGCAACACGATGCAACCTAATTTGAGGGATTTGGTGGACTGGAGCCCCCCACGTACCAAAATTTGGAACGGAAGCTAATTTGACGGGTCTGGCGAACCTACCTTTGCGCGAAAATTATGAATGCACCCTAATTTCAAGGGTTTGGGGCATTGCCCCCCTTGCCAAACTTCCAGATGCAAACCTATTTTTCGAGCTTCGGGCCTTTAGCAAACCTAGTTTCGAGCTTCAGGGAATCATCCCAGCACGTTAGGAAGACATGCGCATGAATCAACACAGCGCAAAATGAGCAGCTGTGAATGTCGACAACCCATTCTCCTTCACAAACACCCCCCCAAACCCTGGTGGAATCTGGACGAATCTGGTGTATTTGTTAATTATCTGGTCCCAGAAAATTTGGTGGGGTGAGTGTCATTCATTTGCAGATGATTTTCCAACATTTTCCCTTGAAACATTGGAACTTCCCAGCCAGCCAGTTTAGAATCCCAGGGAATGATTCCCAGAGGGTATGCAACTAAGCATTCACCAAAGGTTTACTGTCGAATCTGTCCGAGTATCCGATTATTCTTGGTTTATCGCCTAGGCTTGGTGTTTCCATGGGTTTTATCATGTCTTATCACCACTTTATGTGTGGTTTCTCTCGTGTTCGATGTTGGACCTGGATTTTGGATGGTAAACAAGGCTGCAACGGCAACAACCGTAGTGGTAATAATCCAAAATTTGTTGGCAGAATCTCGTTTTCCACGGTCTAAATCCTTAACTTTGATTTTGCTATAGTCAAATATAGTAAATGCAACATCTCGCAGAATCTCAACTGTCAAATGTCAACTCCCAACCTTTCATCGTCAAATTTTCGTTGCTGTCTGATGGATCTCCACGCGCTGTGTAGCCCTAGCGTTTCCAGAATAGTTTTGTCGTTGAAGACGGGCTGGTGATGTTGGCTCAGTGGATTGCAATGCGTTCAATCCAATAGCAAAACCCTGAATGGGTGGTATAATCCATCCTCAAATGGTGGGTTTATGGTCTTGGGTTTGCCACAGTGTCAACAGTCATGAACATACATCAACGTCATGCATGGCAAATGGCCGACGATATTTTCAATTTCTTCGCCTGACGTCTTGGTAGTGGTGACATATGAGTTGTTATCGAGTTCCCTGAAGTTTTTCATGGCAACATCCAAAGTGTGCACACAATTTCGGGAGCTGTGACACCAGGAAGATCCGGAAGATCAGGCCGATTCAGAACAAGTCGAAGCCGACGAAGCGGCAGCCGCGAAACGTCTGGGCCTCAGTCCTTACTGACTAAAGATAGAACTTGATGCTACCTCAGGTAGAAGATCTAGAAGGTTATAGAAGTAATTTGAAGTTGCACTTCAAGTTCTATAACATGAACATCAGGAACTTAAAAGTTCAATAAGTTCAGTTTCTAACTTATTCAATATAATTTCATATAATTTCCATAAGTAGCAGACTTGGACTTAGAGAAGATAAAACATAAAGATCTAAGGAACTGAGGAACTTCATTTTTGCTGCATTTCTCCCCTGCGCCGAGACGAGAACATCATGCTGGCGGCGCGCGACGGCGACCTGGCGGCGGTGCGGGGCCACCTGCGCCGCGACCGGCGCTGCCTCGACCGACTCTTCGAGGACGGGGTCGTGGGGCTCCGCCGCCGCGAGGCCGCGCTGCACCAGGCAGCAGCCTGGGACCGCACGGGGGTCGTCGCCTTTCTCCTGGCGAAGGGCGCGGCCGTGGACGTCCGGGACAGCGACGGTCCGGGAGCTCAGAGCCGCCGGGCGGCAGCAGCAGGTGGTGCCTCCGACGCCTGCGGTGCTGAGGTTGGACCCCGCTGCATGTTGCAGCATACGACGGCAGCGTGGAGAGCGCCAAGCTGCTGTTGGCAGCGAAGGCCTCAGTGGACACCAAGGACAACTTCGGCTGGGGGCCTCAGCCGATATCACAACCGTTTTGAAAACAGTTTTTCACCGGCAATCACAATAATAGTTGCAGTTCAATGTGGCATGTTTTGATGAATTGAAATTTGAAATTTCAGGTTCTTTCAACTTCAATCAGCATGGGATTTCCCTGGATTTCTCATCTCAGGTTCCCGTCTTCAAAGTTCCCTTGAAATTCAAGAGCCGTGATTTTGGGGCGTGTCTCTGTCACGATCAACGTAGCACACTTCTTGTTTGAAACATGTTGAAACATTGGGGTTTAGAGTTCATCCATGTCTTTGACATCCACGTGAGCCAATGTGAAGAATGAAACAGAGGTTTCCGCACATTTTAATCACCACATCAGTTCGAATTCCAGCTGTGGTTCCCAGGCAAAATGCCCCTGGACTATGCGAGAGAGGCGGGCAAGACGGAAATGGTGAACCTGCTGATGGGAAAAGCCTCTTGGCTGCACGGGTGAGGTTCAATGCAGTGGCCAATGGCATAGTACTGTAGGTGGGAGTGTCCATGGATGAAACATGGTGAAACTGCTGGCACCGGTGGGGATGAAAACATGAAAGGCGTAGGGATAGTGTGAGTCCCTACCACGGACGTTTAGGCATCCGATTTTGGACACGTGAATAACCTAAAACCATTGCCCAATCATCATCACAGGCCAACAATTGAGCGCCGGTGAACCACGATTTTGATTGAATCTGCAGAATTAACTCGCCGCCCAACATGGAATTATTTTGGTTGAAACGCCATGCCACGCATTCAATTTCTATCGCCTTCAAGAACAAATCAGATTAATTATCAGATTAAGCACGGGCAGAACAGGTATGTTGTTTTTGGCGTCTGACTATCTTCAGCATTACATGGCGGCCTAAAGGTCACCGATGGGCACGTACACGAGTAGGCATTTGTTCGCTAAGATGTGTCTTCTGTCCATATCGATTTTTGGGGTTGAATCATCTTGAGCCCCCAGATGTTGTTTGCACCTTCGCTCCGCCCAAGGCATGAAACGTAAGGCCTGGCACCGGGAATAGTTCTTTGTTGTCTGTCAGTTTTGGTTGGGAATGAAGATACATTGAACATCATTGAACAAGTGAAACAGTGAAGCCATCATCAAAAAGGTTGGGAAATGAGAAGCATGGCTATGGTGCTGCCGAGCAGCGCCCACTGGCCCGTAAGGAGCTTTGTCGCATTGTTCATTCGAAAACATGGGACACTTGATGAACACTGCAAACACCAAAGCTGTGACCGTGACTGTTGAGCTTATCACAACATGCTGGGCACCTCTAATCAGTTGTCCTTGTCAGCAAGATCTCCCCAGTGCAAAAAACTATCCATATATTTGTACAACGAGCACCTTTGCAGGTTTTCTTGGTGCAAGAAATACTGGACATATCTGCATGTGTCTATATGTGTCTGACATCATGTTTTTTTGAGAACAAATCTCCAGTCACCTGCTTCGGCTCCCATTTTTTGCAGGTTCGCTATTGTGATTTGAAATGATTTGAACATGATTCAATTTCGGGCCAAAGGTGCCTTTGGAGTGCACCCTATGATATGATCAAAAATGTGCCGCCGGACGCCTTTTTTGTCCACATGACATGGTATGGATCAAACTTGGGTCTCCACAAAGTTGGACGGCTTAAGATGATTTAATTTAGTGCTAAAGCCATATTCCCAGCTGTGGTTGCATGGGGTTTCTCTCTATTTCAATTTGGAATCAGGACTGAGCTTAGCAAGTGGCTGGAATCTCTGCTGTGCAGCCATTAGTTTTATAGCCTCACACCTCTCATTTCCGTCCGTGGTGGATTTGTTATGCTTAATTGGTCAATTCCACATCATTGTTATTTTTCAATGGGATGACGTCGTTAGGCAAAAGATCGTGACATGACCTCTAGGCCCAAACCATAGATCTTAGATGATCTTAGCTGCCTTAGCTTCATGGATCATACCAGTGGCAACTTTGGTAAGATTTTTTTCCAGTGCAAGAAGTAGAAGCTCCCCCAAGTATGTATAGGATGTAGGTGAATATTCCTCAGGTAGTAATACAGCTCCCACGACTCCATGATCGGCAAGATATCAGGTCTTGTTTGCGGGTGTATTAGCTGCGGTTAAGATTCATGTGGGATGATTTTTTTTACTTAGAGGATATGTGCAATGCGTAATCGATGTCACTGGTTTCAGGTTCAAAGGGACATCATGGAGTGAAGCGCGAATAAAAATTATCACCCATGGATGTTGAATATGACCACTTGTACT